AGACCGTGCCTTTCCTGCATGCTGAGCTCACATTGATTGCCGCATGGTAGACGCTGGGGCATTTGGTAGCATGCCTGAGATAATTTGTACCAATTGAGAGGGTGTCAGCTCTGCTGTACTCTCCATGGATTTACTGGTACAGTGAGGCAGAGAGACAGAGACACAGACAGACAGACAGGCAGAGAGACAAATATACACGAGAATAGGGATGAAAGTAGTGAAAAAGTAGAATAGAAAGCTGGTGAAAATGGAGGATACAGATGTGTGAGGGAACGGGAAAGATAAAAAGTCAAACCTACAAAGAGAGACAGTGATAAAAGAGTAGCGATATCTCCTTCTACAACTGCCTAATAAGTCCACAGATGTCTCTATGAGTGCACCACTTCTTCTCTTCAGCTGCAAGACAAGTTCAAAGTCCTAGTCTGGAGTCTGTATTTTGACATCCTGCTAGGAGCCAGACGGTACAGTTTATGTCTAGCTCTGGCATCTTCAGCTACCCAGGGATTCCCTCAGTAGGAATGAATGTCAGCAATGAAGAGAGGATGGTAGTTTGTTTAATCTAGCGGGTACTGCTGTTGCTATGAAGAGCTATAATATAACTGTGTGTGTCTGTTTTTCTGCGTGTGTTTGTGTTTTCATGCGAGCTCTGTTTTTATACACTGTGGTGCCACAAAAGTCCCCCCAGGAGTGGAAAGTGGAAGAAGTGACCACTTTCTGATTCAATTTTCAGACGTCATAGGAATGAGGCAAAGTCCCTGTAATTTAGCATGACAGTAAAGGTTCAAATAAGGTCAGAGTGGTTTAAAAAACGTTGTGTAACAGTGGTAAAAAGTGATATGGTCTAAGTTTAGGCGGTGAATAAAAATCCTTTAGGACAAAGCCAAAACAAAAGCACAGGGGTGAGCAGAACTACACCACATCTGTTATGAGGAGACACATAAAATTAGTTTAGCCTTTGCCTGTTCTCAAACTTCAAACTGTTTCCTTTTTATTAGAGCTATTCTGCTCTTCATGATGAATTTCAAGCTTGACCAACATATCAGTGAGTGAACAATTTTTAAATTAACACGCTACCTAATTCTGCACTTAGATCAGAATTCACAGCTGCTAGAATAATTTGAGTTCACCAACCCTTGAAAGGTGAGTTCATTTTTCACACTACTGACGTATTTTAATGCAAACTCATAGCGGTTCCCTCAGAAAAAGACAAGACACCTCAATATTTCAGGAGGAAGCTCCTGAATTTCTCATGTGATAACCAAAACAGAAAGAGACACATGAAATGTTTTATTCGCAGGTCATTAAATGTTTCATTGCATGGACTCTCTTTTGAATGTCCTTGGTGTCTTAGTGGTCTTGGGGGCAAATCATGTGTATAACTAATTAAAGGAAAAATTCTTGAAGGAATAGTTTGACATTTTGGGAAATACACTTCTGGTCTTGCCAAGTTTAGTAGATGAAAAGATCAATACCATCCCCAGACAGTGCCAGACTTTTTGCTCCCCCTGTTTCCAGGCTTTATGCTAAGGTAAGATAACCAGCTGCTGGCTGCAGCCTTATATTGAACAGACAGATTAGTATTGATCTTCTCATCGAACTCCAAGGAAGAGAGTGAACACGCATATTTCTCCAAAATGTCAAACTCTTCTTTTGAGATACCTTTACAACATTTGCCTACATCTGACCTGTGTGGCCCATTGTTTCTATTCACGGTGTTAGTGGTGCAAGACAACAGCTGTTTCTGCCTCTGTCACAGTGTCTGCAGGTGGCTGGGATGGTAACTTATGGGCCAGATGATCTAGGATGAAGGAAACACACGAGCACGGTCTCAGGCCAGACAGTGATTCATGAACACAGAAACGGGAGGCTGAATGACCCTTTAACTATTAATCCTGACCCTGTGTGGCCGTGTGGGTCACTGGTTGACATAAATGAGCAATCACACAGTAAATACTACTGTATTCAACATCACTTGGAAAACTTGGTTTCTGTCATATTTAAACATGGTGCCTTGGAGAGCTTCACATGATTTCTGTGGAAAAGCCCACAGACATATCTGGCTGGTTCTCTGAGGGTGGTGAAGTATGAGGAAGAGGTTCCTCAGCAGTGTGTGTGTGTCTTAAAAGTCTGTCTGCCCAGTCAGTGCTTGTTGGACAGTTTTAATTGAAAACAGTATGAGGCGCATACACACACACCGCCCTCACATGCTTTTTAGTGACTAGAGCTTGTTAGTAGTACAGCAAGAGAAGCCAGATGAAGCCATCCCACACACCAGGTGCACACTGCTGTCTGTCCTCTCCCTGCTTATCTCATTCTTTTCCACTTTTTTGACAAGGCTTTTAGAATACTTTGTTTTAATGTAACTTGTCGGCTCCTTTTTGTCTCAGAATCACTGACCTTTTTGCTACATTTCTCTCAATTCAAATTATATCTTTTTATTCCACCAAGTTTACCCATTTCCTCCTTTTGCTCCCAGTCTCTCCCATAACATCGATCCCCTATAGAACACATTTGTATTATTTGATATTTACAAAGCAATAACCAAGTTCAAAATCATAGTAGAGCTGAAACAATTAGTCAATACATTGTTTAGTTGATGGACATTACATTAATCAGCAACTATTTTGATAATCAAATAACTGTTTATGTAATTTTTCATGCAATAATGCCAAACATTCTCTAGTTTCAGCCTCTAAAAGTTGAGGAATTTTTCTAGTCCAAATGATGAATTAGTTATCAACTTCTTTAGTTACAACCCTAAATCATAGCATCATCTGTGTCTTTGGACGTGTGGCACCACCATGGCATCCCCTCCGTACCTGTGTAACCCAGCTGAAAGTACAGATGAAGGGAGGGGGAAAGAGTGCGGTCAGCCCTAAATGAATTGGCTGCAGAAGACGAGAGAGATGGAGGGAGATGGAGGAAAAGTAAACAACAGATGGCTGAAGCATGTTGCCGCTATTCGCAGCAGCAGACGCTGCGCCAGCCCACTGCCAGCCTCTTGAGAGGTTACTATGCAACGGTGACCGTGACGACACAGGGTCAGAGATCAAGTGCCTCCTTGATGACAGCCCATAATGCCAGATTGTCATCCACATGCTGTGCCAGACTGGGCCAGCTGAGACCGACACACTGAGAGTTTGTACAGTGTTAAATAGTGTTTTCTTTGGCTGAAGTTTGGCAGTGATGACTCTGGAATCTTCCATACAGTGTCCACCCTTAACCCACCTGCCAGCCTTGATGACACACACTGAGGCAGCTGTCTGTGTGTGTGTGTGTGTTGTGTGTGTGTGGTAGTGTGAGCACTGAACCCTCTCATCTGAGGAGCCGAACTGAGTGGTGGCACACATTGGCTGCCAGCTTTGGCCATGAACCTCATTCACAAGCGAGAGAGACAGAAAGAGAAAGACAGAGAATGGGAAAATGCAAGCGGCTAAAATGCGAGGAGGTGTGTGTGACTGTGTTTGTGTGTGTGTGTGGAGGGCATAGACATTTCACACAAAATTACACCATTACCTCACACTGTGGTGTGGTGTCTGACTGGTTTAGTTGGAATAGTTGTGCTTGTGTCTTTGGTTAAAATAAATTACTTATTTTTAAGTATATTTTCAGCTCATTATTATTGACTTTCCAGTTCATGTTAGTTCATGCATAGATTGAGACAATAAACTGAATACAGATGCACTAACAAAGCATGAACCAGGATGTCACGTAATAATAGTGTACAGGCAACAGTAGAATCGGAGTTTAACCTTCTGTGTATCTAGCTTTAATATCTGCAGTGTCGACACGTAAATAAACAGAGGTGTGAGACACTCTTACCAGAAGAAGCGTCAGTTCAGTGCACACACAAATGGCTGCTTTGTGGTTTGTGGCGAGTGAGGTCAAGTTTAGCAGTAGATAGATGAGACACATCTAGAGAGTGGTGTCATCCACTTCCCTGTCTGCCTGAGGTGTAACTGACTCTTCCTGTGAACAGGAAGCACCAGCTGCTGTTCCTGGAAGAGATCACTACGTCAGTCTGTGACTGTCTGTGTCTGTGTCTGTCTATGCGTGTGTGTGTGTGTGTGATCATCTTTGTGGTGGCTTTATAAACTAAAATATGGTGTTCAAGACTAATGTAAACTGAAATAACATTATATGCTTGACTGGGGGAACACATTTAATTACCAGAACTATATTTTTCTACCACTCTTAAATAAAAAAGGTAAAACGTATGTTTAATTTTATTTGGATATGTGTAAACTAAAAGTAAGCAATGAAAAGAAACATTGGATCTTCTCTCTTTACCTTCAAAAATCAACATAAATTGAACATTACCAGACATTTTTAAAGAGTTTATCATCAAATTATACAAAAACAAATGATTGAATTTGAAACTGAAATTCAACTGAAACTGACTAAAAACTGAATGAACTGTCCCGCCGACACATGACACTGAATTACATAAAAATGGAAATTATGTTCTAAATATGAAACCATGATATCAACCTCAACTGGGTTTCACTAAGGAATGGAGATAAATTATTGCCCAGTGTTTTGTTGTTCCTCCTGTTGTGTTGATAGTTTTGCAGACTCAGGCAGTACTCATTAAAATTACATTACCTCAGTGAGAGCGTAGCGGCTTCAAATCTGGGCAGTGTTGCACAACTGGGGAATGTTTGCAGCGTTGCATGCATGTACTGGTATTGGCGTATGACTTTGTTGGGAGGATGAGTCAGAGGAAATGTGTGTATGTGTATGTGTGTATTTGTGCCAGTGCGTTTATCCTGTTCATTGTTTATTTCTATCAAAACAAAGCCACAAGAAATCTGTGAAACAAGAAGTTTTGCCAACAATTGTCATCGGTGTAACTTTCAGTCATCATCTCTCTTTGTATTTCTTGTTCTTTTTCTAGTTCATTTGTTAGACTATAGTTTGCCTTAAACTATTCAGGATTGTCAATAGTGGGGTTAATGCCTCTTTGTTAATCTTTTTTCTCTCTCTCTCTCTCTCAACAGGAGTGGCAGCATCTTTGTCTTTCAGAAGACATTTGTGGCATGAAACCAGATCGTATTCATCTTTCATTCATCACCTCCTTCATCTCCCTCCACCACTCTCCAGTTAGAAACTCTCACCTCAGCTCCACCGCATTGATGAGGTAACGTCAAGCTCTACGCAGCGCAGCACCCACCTGCACAAACACCACCCTCCCCCCTTCTTTCCACTCCTTCTGTCATCCCTTCCATCACAGCCATGGGACAGAAGATATCTGGCGGGATTAAATCGGTAGATGGTCGCGGGGAAAGCGGTGGCTCCCCATCCTACCGGCCTTCGTCTCACCGCCGACAGCACCCGGTATTGAGGGATCCAGATTTCTCCAAACCTCCCAGGCTGGATCTCCTGCTGGACATGCCATGCGCTGGACTGGAGACCCAGCTCCGTCACGCATGGAACCCTGACGACCGCTCGCTCAACATCTTCATCAAAGAGGAGGATAAACTGACATTTCACCGCCACCCGGTCGCTCAGAGCACGGACTGCATCCGGGGGCGGGTCGGATACACACGGGGTCTCCACGTGTGGAAAATCCACTGGCCCTCCCGCCAGCGCGGCACCCACGCCGTGGTTGGAGTGGCAACCTCAGAAGCCCCTTTACATTCTGTTGGGTACACGGCATTGGTGGGGTCGGACTGTGAATCCTGGGGCTGGGATCTGGGACGCAACAGGCTCTACCATGACAGTAAGAACAGGGCCCATAGCTCACTGCCCACTTACCCTTGTTTCCTGGAGCCTGAGGAGTCGTTCACCCTGCCGGACTCTCTTCTAGTGATTCTGGACATGGACGAAGGGACGTTGAGCTTCATGGTGGATGGACAGTATCTAGGAGTCGCATTTAGAGGACTGAAGGGCAAGAAGCTGTATCCCGTTGTCAGTGCCGTGTGGGGGCATTGTGAGATATCCATGAAGTACATCAACGGCTTGGATCGTAAGTATCATATACTACACTAACAGCACATAGTAGAGTACGAAGGAGATTGCTCAATGCTGATATTTCCTGATATTTGTCCTATACAAGAGTCTTTGAATTCATAGTGAAGAAAAGCTTCTAATCCAAAAATTGAATATGTCTTACAAGACCAAGCCATAGTTGTTATAGCCATAGATGGTTGTTAGTACAAGAAGAGAAAACCAACTGTGGTAGCCCGGTCAGTTTGTGACATGTCACCACTTTTCCTAGGTTGTGGTTAAGACTTTCAGTTTGTTATGTAATGCTGTACATTTCTTAAGCAAACCGGATGAAAGTTAGTTTGGCAACAAGGGCAGACCCAGTTTCTATAGCGGAAAAGTTAACTGCTTTTCATCATCATCGTATGACGTGTGGTCAGTTTGACTCTTGGGAAAGAATAAAATGACCTTTGCCATATGGCTGACCTCTGTTTTGGGTTAAGTAGTCCTGCAGGAACTGACCTCCTGGATGGGAAGTTCTCTCGTCCCTGTTGGGGATTTCTGCACATATTACTAAGCAGTTCCTGGGCTGGGTACCTGAGGAAATACAAACTGATAATTTCCTCATATGTAGTCTTACCTGCGCCTGTAGGTATCAATAATACTGTAGTACCATATTAGTGGTATTTTGGCTGTTCCAGTTAATGTTTTTGGAACACTACTATCCTCAGCTAGAAGGGTTTGTTCTGCAATAAATAGTTCCTGGTTGTAGCCACACTACATCTGGCTCCAGAAATATATCAAGAGGTTGTTGTGTCTGTGTGTGAAACAGCTGTGTTTTTCAGTGGTTTGAGAGGGAGATGAGTTCAGAAAGAGCAGTTTGGATGCTATTCTGCCTGCTTTGGGTTTAGGTATTTGAATATGATGTGTTTTGTTCTCAGGAGACTCTGTTTGACTCCCACTGTCTGTCTACATGTGTGTGTTATGAGAGAAGAGACAGGCTTTTCCTCCCATCGCAGTCTAAACAGAGTGACTCTTTGAACAGCTTGTTAGAGAAGCTCTTACGTACACATCACGGACACCTTCACACACGGACACACCATCCAGGAAGGGAAAGTGTGTTATGAAAACATGCTTATGATCTGACTCTGGCCGTCTCTCTCCCCCGTGTTTGCAAAACCACATGGGTCTTATTTGATATCACAACAGGGTGTGTTTTTGTCTGTTACCCGGCAGAAAGCTGAAACCCATCTCTCTCTCTCTTTGTTAGGTCAGATTTTTCTTTGCCCAATCACTTAAAATTCTTCACATTTTTCTTAGAAGTTCTCTGCTCTCAAGGGTCAGTACAACATCAAGAGTCTGCTTTCTACCCTTAAAAATAGGCCGTAAGCATCATCATAGCTTATAGCATAACTTAAGTTGGGTGTTTTGGTCTTAAAACTGAAGCTGGCCAACTAGAATATGAATCAAAATGAAACGCAAAACACTTGGCTGAATATTTAAGGCTTGACTTTCTTAACCTCTGGTTTAAGTCCTGCCTGCCTGTTTGTGTGATGTCCAGTAATCTCCTACACTCAGGCTGTGTTCAAAGTACACACTTTAGCTGTTGAAAGCACCTCACGTCAGCCATTTTCCATTTATGGAGCCATCTGCTAGATTTCACGGTGAGTCCGTGTGATGGGCCACCTTGGAGAATATGGAGAATATTGAGTCTGTTTAAAGCCCTCGCTCCTACAAGCATATAGACTTCTTGCTGTGAAATGAGGTTTGACTGTTGAAAATGTGCACAGCTTAATGCAGGGGGGAGAGTGAAGGTTGAAAGACTCATCCTGATAGGTGTATCTTGAATAGGAAAAAGGGAGTAGATGGAGAAAAGGAAGAAAGCAGGGATGTGTGTATATGAGACACAAAGTAATATAAAAATACACATTTGTGATCAGAGAAAAAGAACAAACAGAATAAAGGTTTGGTCATACAAATTACACAGTAAAATTAATCGGCACATTCACGCTAAATATTGGTAATACCCCAGTGCGCTAGGTGAACTACTGTTAGTGGTAAGCTAACAACTGGCAAGACATAATTTAATTCAAAAAGAGTTGCATTGAAGAGGGAAAAATATGTTTTTTAAACAGGTCAATGAGTTCACCCAGTTTATTTAAAAGACATATTTGTACTGTTGACTCCTGTCTTGTCTAATAAGCTACGATCGCTCCCTCTGTTTTGGATTCTCTGGCTCTCAGCACTGTCGAGATGGCTTGCTGTTAGTCAGCAGTGCAAATTTGTGGATCAAAGTTCATCAAATGTAAAACATTTTGTGCAAATTTACTTAGCCCTCATGAGTGAATCCATTTCCACATTGATGGGATTTGCTGCAATATTTTGCCATTTTAAACACCGGTGTGACCAGGCCCTAAAACAGTCGTCTCTTGTTAAAAAGAAAAGGTACTTCATTATGCAATTATGCATTCCAAAACAAAATAAATAAAATCATGTTTTTGTGCGTGTGTGTGGAGACAGACGAGACAAAGGCATGCCTCAGGTAGGGGAAATCCACTTCGACCACCAAATCTAAAACAATGCTTTCAGTTTCTCATTCCACATAACCACATTCATGGCCGAGATGTCTTTTTGGGTTATTAGTGCACCGGTCGTTGCTCTCATCCGAAACAAAGACTAAGGAGGAGAGGAGAGTAATATCTTAAGATTTTATTCAGAGGTGAAGTAAATAGCCTTAGGGGTTTGTTGCAGAAGGGGCCAACAGGGTATGATTACAGTCTGCGTGTCGGCTTTGTTCAATATCAGTTTTGAATTGAATTGGCTTGTCTGCCCCGCGGATGACTCGAATAGCAAGAATTAAGTCATAATTGCTGTCTGCCTGTAAGTGTAGGAGTGTGTTTGAATGGCAAAGCAGCAGTATGCGGTCAGCTGCACAACAGGCATCACATTATACAGCTGTCTTTTGCTGCTTTCTTCTCTGTTAATTGCTTAGTGCATCATTTGTGTTTCTGAGTTCAAACCTCAATAAGTATAAGGCATAAATATGTTCTCTGTGTGTGTGTGTCTGTCTGGTCATGCAACATCCTCTGGGTAGTTCAGTAATGACTTAATCTAACAGGCCTTCCCATGAGGAGCCACTATTGGATTGTTTGTGAATTATTGTTGTGAGAGAAACAACACGACTGCAGGGTATTAAAAAGAGATTTATAGATACAGCGTCTCCTTGCCACAAACTGTTTGTTTTTCTCACTCCGGCTCAGGCCCCGCTGCACCGCAAGCACTTGATCATCACTTTGCTCCACCTTCAGATCATTGCTCCCATTCCTGCAGTAACACACCACGTAACCAGTGAGACCTGTAACCAACATCATTCCAGGCTCATGGTAGTTTTGGAAAGATCACACGAAGCAATCAGGGTCAGATAAGTATGTGTAATAAGCACTAATGCAAAGAAATGCTGAGCGAGGTCCAAACTGCATTATACTGTAAATGTGATGTAAATTATTCATCCTTCCAGCACTCCGACTTCAAAGAATCTCCCCTGTTCCATCGAGAAGTGAACAGATCCCTGTTTGCCAGATAGCGTATATTTCACTCAGTTGTTGCTACATTACATAAACACGTGTAACTAATTTATTTTGCTACCTTGAAGCACACTCTCATCTGCTTCTGTCTAATGTGTGTGTGCCTCTCTCACACACACACAGCTCTGTATTCTCTCTCGTCCTGTCTCCATAATTGTACCAATTAGCGGCGCTTTGATTCGCTACAATGGGAGCTGTCTTAGCTTCAGCCCTGATATGTGCCACTTCCTCTCTTTCCCTCTTTTTCTTCCTCTACTCTTTGTATTCAAGCACACATTCACCAAACTCCAATGCAGAATCTGGCAGCTTAATGTTGCCTTCTTTATCAGCTAATATACAAACCACCCAGTATATAATGGCAGACGTTTTTGAACCATTAGAGGCCACTGTTGGGCACATATGACTGTCATCGGGTGGTTAAATCCAATTTGGACGATTGGTTATAACTTCAGTAGAAGGATTACATAGTCTCTTTTGACATTTAAGGTTCTTTATGCAACAGCTGTGATATGCTTTACTAGCACAAAGCAGTCTCAGCCTCACACAGTTTAGGACAGTGTGGAACTTGGAAGTTGGGTATAAAAGAGGGAAAGACAAAGATGGTGATGATGATGATGCAGACGGTACCAGTGATGGGATTAAAAAAAAGGCAGAGTGAGTTACAGCAGTGGGAAGTAAGTGAAACCAGGATAAGATCTAAAAGTAGCCAAGACCATACTGAAGTTTTTGTCAGTAGAAGGATGGAGCCAGAATACAAAGGCATCGAGAGGGAGGGTGTGAACAATAAGGACAGAAAGCAGAAAAGCTAGCGGAGCTGTGCAGTTGTGTGGGATGATGTGAATGAGGCACACTCAGCTGACTTAAGATGAAAAAAATTGTCATATTTTCAAAGAAGTTTCAAAACTGCATTGCAACACTCCCACATCTGTGCGCCATCGCTTTGTCTGTTTTAACTGCACTGTGTGAAAGATGACAAACACACATAAAGACGGTGGACTTCCTAATGTGGCATTTTGCGGCACGTAGACACAAATACTAACGCTGGGATTAATTCATACTTCATAGTTAAAATCACAATTGCAGGCTTATTCGGGCATCACATTCCAGCAGATCTGTCAACAAGAAGTGACCCACTTTTTTTTTCCTTCTCTGTAAGCTGGCCTGTAACTCTGACCTCCCTTCCACTTCCCTACTATTCAGTCTGCAACACATGAGCTTACAAACTCCAGGTCAGACCTAAACCAGCTGCTGTTGCTGCTGCATGCACCAGCACTACAGAAAACTGAGATCCATTCATGACCTAGTAGTTTACATGAAGGTTATAGCAGCCTGCAGTATCATGCTCTGGATACATTCAGTATGGAGGGTTAGCCTGCACATCTATAGTTTTTGTCCAATCAAATGTCTACATGGTTGGACAAATGGACGAATAACCCATTTGATCAAGTAAGTTATT